AACAAAAAAAAATACAACGAAATAATCTCCTTACCCCCAAAGTAATGAATTCATTTGACGAGTTTTCAGGGCTTTTGTCCACGTGGTTTGAGGTGCACGGCGTGACGGAGAACCTGCAGCGGCGATTGTATGAAAAGCTACGCAACGACGTCTTTGACGCGGGTGACTCCTTTTCCTTGGCTACGCTGGCCGCGGAGGGGTGTGAAGAAAAGGTGAGTCTTCCGCAAGAAGCTGAAGAACCCGTCAATAACGAGTACGTCCTCGTTTCTACGAGAGATTTGCAAGCAAAAGAAGACATTTGGCTTGTGGATCACTGCTGTACATTTCGTCTTCGTGAGTTTTGTGAGCACTTGAAAGTGAACGCCGCGCTTCGTGAGCGGTTGGGTCGCATTCTGTCGCTGAACCTATCGCACACTAACGCCGAGGAAGATACGCGCACTGTGTTTGACAACATGTGGACAAAAGTGGGCTCTTATCGGCTTCCCGGCCGCGTTGATGACGGAGATGCCCATTATGAAAACTCGTGGTACATTCACGACGAGGTTGGAAGCGCGATCACGGTGGTGACAGATGAACCTGGCAACATGAAGTTGGAGCCTGTCCCTGTCTGCTTCCCAGAAAAGGGTGGTGTATTCTCTGCGATGTGGTGTGTGGAGGATATGGAGGAGGGCACCATCGCCACACAGAAGGCCGAGACACTGCTAGAAACATGGGGCGGGAAAGAAGTTGTGGAGCTCCTGTACGGGATGGCGGGGCAAGAAAGTTATATGGATGCAAAGCAAGCCTGCCTGGAGGCTTGGCGGCGAATGGTGGGCAGGATGGAGGCGGTTTCTTCAACCATGGCGGAACAGGTTCACAGCATTGAGGCTGACGACGCTCGGGATAGCGGCCACAATGTCGTTGACGCAGGACGCCGCCGCCCAGTCGCACCCCTCCCCACACCGCTACCAGAATCAAGAGAGAGTGCAGAGTTGAGTGTGAAGCTACCTTTGCGCGTATTTACGGATAGCAAACTGGTTTCGGCAAATCTTACCGATGCTAAGCATTTTATGTTGGTTGACCTGCCGCAGGAGGCGCAGGCGGTTTGGGTTGTCCATGATCACATTGATGATCTCAACAAGTTTCGATACGCGCAGTTTGTTTCTCAGTTCCCCGAAGAGAAACTTTTTACAAGCAAGAAGGGTCTTTTGCAACTTATTCAGGATCACTATGGGTATGTGGACTGGTATCAGGTCAGCTACGACAGCACCTCACAACTTCATGAATTTATTGGGGACTTTATGGTGCGACAGGCAAAGTTGCACGGCACAGCCCCGGACGGTGTGGTAACCCGCGATGACATTTGTGCGTTGCACAGTGATGATGGAACAAACTTATGGATCACTAAACCAACAAATATGGCCCGAAGCATCGATATGACGATTTCTTCCAACCTCAATGCATTGCTCAGAGCCATTGAAACCGGCCCCAAAGTGGTGTGCAAATATGTTGCCAAAACCGCTACTCTGCACCGCCGCAAGTTTGATCTGCGATTTATTGTGGCCGTGCGGTCTTTTGCGTCGGAGGAAACAGCGATGGAGGCCTACTTGTACAATGTATTTTGGACTCGCTTTGCCTTGGAGGAATACGCCTTGAACGACTTTGACCATTTTGAAAAGCACTGGACGGTTATGAACTACGAAAATCCTGCAAAACTAATTCAGTTGCACGACTCTGAGTTTATTGAGGAATTTAACGCGGAGCACGCCAAGAAAGGGTATGGCGCATCGCTTTGGACCCGAGACGTTTACCCCAAGATTCGGAAATTGCTTCGCAAAGCGCTTGACGTCGTGAAAGTCCACGGTGCCGATCGTCGTCGCTGTCGTGCGATTTACGGGATGGATGTTATGCTGCGGGAAACTTTGGGCGGCCGCCCTGGGACGAAGTCGCTAGAACCCACCCTGCTTGAAATCAACTACAGCCCCGACTGCCAGCGCGCGTGTCGGTACCACCCTGAATTCTTCAACGACGTGTTCCGCACGCTTTTCACGGGGACACCGGTCAATATGACACCATTGTGAACTGCGTCGGCTTCGCCGTTGAAGGTTTTTTTTATTTTTTTTATCTTGTTTTGCCCGGGGGGGCGTGGCGTGGTGCTTTTTTCTTTCCAGTCGCCGAAAGGAAAAAGGGGGACGTTGGGCACGCACAACAACCCCGCCTACCGGCATTTATTTATTTTTTCGTTTATTATTATTCGTGTTCTCGCCGCCGCCGCAAACGCCCGACCCCCGGGGGCGGAAAAGTGAGAAAAAAAAAAAAACGGCCCCCGTTTTGTGCCCGGCGAGGTCGCCGCAGGGCCCCGCGCCGCTTTGGCGGGGGGC